TCTACAAAATACTTAGTCTTATCAGTGACGCTCGAATAAAAAATAAGGTGAAAGGCCAAATAAAGTATTGAGGAGCTTTTCAGACCATCGGAAGGGTTTTGTCAAATACAGCTAAGGTTATTTAACGAACTGTTACGTTTGCTTCTTTTTCTGAATCACCTGATAAAGATGTATAAAATTTTTGATTATGAAAAAAATAAATAGGTAATAATTAACTTTTGAAAATTTACACAAAATTATTTGTTACTATTCTGCTACCAAAAGTTTGGGTAGTTTGTACATTAGAAAAAAATCATCAAACATACCAGACTTTTAATTTGGTACGCCAGACGCGCGTGTTGTTCACGACATTATCAGTGGCGCTCGAATGAAAACAGTTGGAAGGTCAAATACAAGGTTGAAGAAGTGGAAGAAAATACTACACATAGTTAGGAAGAAATGTTAGATAATTTTATCTTATCAACTCCATTTATCTGTATTGAAATAATTAATTTGGTAGTTTTAAAGATATTTTATATAATGTGTACATTAGTCCCTGCGTAATCTTCTGTTTAAAAAGTTTTACCTTGAAAAAAAGGTGTTTTTCTATGAGCACCAGTGTGTAAAATTTAGAAACATAAAGTGTTTTATATATTATAGCATAGTCTATAACGATGACAGATTATTCACGACCTAAATGTAATTATTTTTAACTTAGTTATCCGTCAAAACTAACGTTTATTCTCCTAGTAAACCAAGAATGTTTAGAATTAAAACATTTGACCTCTGAACCCTGATATTTCATTCTACTTGTACTACTTTTTTTACTCTCACGGACGCTTAGTTTATTTTTTATGTTGCAATAAAGCAATAACTTTGAGCCCAGAGGTAGAATCGTCCTGGTCAGTTCGTAATATCTTGTTTGACACCTGTTGACAAATATCCCACAAAAACGGAACAGCTAGTAACAGGTTGTATATATGCCTCCGAGTTCAGATCAATACGTTTAATTTCTTCACTTCAGCATAAAATTCATAGTAAATGGTCGATTTTTATGCAACTAACGAGGATTTCATTTAAAGTTAATAACAAACTGAAGGTCAGTAAATTTTTATAGTTTATCCTTAATTATCAGTCGAAGAATGATTACGAGTCTCGTTCACATTTTTATGGTAATATATTATTATGCATAGCAGGCGGATGTAAGAAACTGTGTTGATAAATTGTATGAAATATAAACATAAATAATAAAGTTATGTTGTTTCCTGCATCGTTTATTTATTTGTTTACGGAACTGGAGTGCAGTTTTTTGTTTTTGACACTTTATCTCTGTTCTCTATTTTTGACAACCGGATTCACACTTCTTGAAAAAAAAAACTTCAAGACATAAACGTATCTTGAATAATTGCCATCTCAGGTGAAGTCGTGGATAGTGTTATTCAAAGAAGAATTTTATGATTAATTTGATCTACATCTGATATATACATTTGATATTTTTTTATATCTTGTAATAGCAGATGATGCGAGATGCACGGGAGATTTAATGAAATGCTCCACTTGTATAACTTTAGCACATACACAGGTTTAAACATTGTAAAATACTATTTCTATCTTTTAAAAATCGGCTTAAAATTTACAAGTCCATGTATTATTTTATTCTCTCTATCAGAAATCGACATTGATAAGAAAAAATTAGGTAATTGTCACAGCTTAAGATTGCATGTAATCTCAACAGCAATGATAAAAATATTGGTCTGTAGATCATTTGACAAACTATATATATTGGAAGAATATACGAGTTTTAATTGATTTGATAAAAAGGTTGATCTGATCGTTCTTAATGAAACCTCATAACTTACAAATTGTTCAAAAGTAACTCGGAAGAGAAAGAAGTATTTCGTTTTTGTAAATAATTTTGACAATAGAAGCTGTATAACCATGGTAAGTTTCAGTCGGTTACAAACTTGTTATACAACGAGGTCAACGCCTTCGGTTATTTTCGGTTAGAAGGGCATTCATGTCGCTGCAACATGTTGCCATTATGTGTTGGGCATTTAACATTTATCCATTGAATACTAATTCTGTCCTTTTCTTAAAGCAATCTGAATAGATACACATTGTTTAAACAGTAAGGAGCATTGGTGACCCAGTGGTCTTGCCTCTGAATAGATACACATTGTTTAAACAGTAAGGAGCATTGGTGACCCAGTGGTCTTGCCTCTGAATAGATACACATTGTTTAAATAGTAAGGAGCATTGGTGACCCAGTGGTCTTGCCTCTGAATAGATACACATTGTTTAAATAGTAAGGAGCATTGGTGACCCAGTGGTCTTGCCTCTGAATAGATACACATTGTTTAAATAGTAAGGAGCATTGGTGACCCAGTGGTCTTGCCTCTGAATAGATACACATTGTTTAAATAGTAAGGAGCATTGGTGACCCAATGGTCTTGCATACCATTCTTTAAGTCGCGTCTTTTATAAGGGTTAGAGACTGCCAAACTATCAAGGCGCACTGGCTCGATCTGTCGCCATGTGAAAGGGTTAATACTTAATCATTGACCGAAAGTCGCAGATTTACTCTTGGCACTTAAACTTAGACTTCCAAGAAATTTTACGTTTGTATGAAAAATGATTTAAAACCCGGTCAAGAACCCAAAAAATCCATTCATCGTATTGCAGATCAAAACTGTTTCTATAATAATGAAATACCTTTGAACTGCTTGTTCTATTTCAACGTAATGAACTAGTTCCGTTAAAAATGATCGGTTATATCAAGATATCGATTTTCACCTGTTGTTTGTCGTATGTAATTAAGACGCCTTCAATCAAATCATTTTTGTAATTAAATGCTTTCCATTTACAAGACTGTCGATAATTCAGTATTGTTGTTGAGATTTTATTAAGATTTACAGAACTATCTTAAGTCTATTATATCTGCATTAAATGGAAACAAGACAGCAGATTAGTTGACATCTAGGTACAGAATTTTCTGTTCAGAATTGACAACGTCACCAATAATCAACGTTTAACACACCCCTTGGTCCAGTTAACATTGACTAACAAGGAAGTAATAACATAAACGGTATCTATTTTACTGGAACAGATGCGCATTTCGACAATAAATGTTTATTCAGTGATATTCGATGCCAAAATATTTAAAAATCCAAACCTTATTAAAAAATGAAGAGCTAATAAAAGCCAAAAAGAACAAAAAGTATAAGCAAAGATGGGCAAGGAATCAGAGCTTTGCATGATGGTAACATGTTCCTTAAGTTAATATTTCTAGGATTTTATAACAGCAAATTTTAATAACACAATATCCGTATTTTCATGCCAGCACAGAAGTAATGGCTATATACTGTATAGCTTACTTTATGCCTCACTCCTCTACCACGTAATCCTTACGGGTATACTTCTTTCTCATGAATTTTGTGTCAAAAATTAATACTATTTCAAATAATGAACTTCACATGAATGAAATCTTCTTGCGAAATCCGTTGATCACACATTTTAACACTACTGTGCATACTAAAATTGCTTTTATAAATAATAGTACATTGTATTTATATGAAAGAAAGAGGTAAATCGGTCACGCAATGAACTATATATTTTGTTTGGTGAGAGTATAAAAAATATAACTACAGCATTTAACCGTATAGTTAAAATTACATGGTCCTTTTCAACGCCTATCCATCTTTTTACACAGGAGAATATGGTTCTTGGCAAATTTCTTTATCTCATGTATTGCAGGATCTACTACTTTCACTGAACTCGGACACGGTTCAAATAAAAGTCGGACTCGAGAGTAGTTAAACGGGAATCGTTTTTTTTTAATAGAATTTTGCGATGTAAACTATGGAACTAACAATACATGTAATTGTATTCCATTTCGGTTCTTATTAATAAGCTGGTTTTGTGATTTACCACCAATCATTATACCATTTTTCTCTCCCACAAATACCACGTGATTAGAAACTTTCGTAACTATAAAAAAGATGTTTTGCGAACGGGAAGTGGGGTTTACTAAAGAGACACAACCAAAAGACATCTAGAGGTATCTACAGTCTTAAACAATAGACAGGACTGTTGTCTATACATTATTTCAAGTGTAGAAAAAAGTTGTGATTATTTTAACCGCTAGACTATAGTTTATATGTTGAAAAGTTTGTTTTTTATCCTTCATATGTAAACATTGAAACAGTATTACTCACTCAATTTTCGATAGTTTGAATTTTTTACAAATAGTAAATGCCATTTTTAATGATCTTGGTCTTATTTATTATAAATTAATAATGACACAGTCCCCTGTTATCCCACGTTTTTAAAATTACTACAAAAATATATTATATTGTAAACAAAAAATGTTTTAACATCTATATCTTTAAATCATAAACAAGTTACATTTTTTTCACACAGTCAAAACACAAGTTGTTTATAAGTTAGTTTTCTAAACAATTACTTTATTGATAAAACATGACAAGGAGAGTTGACATGTATTTTGACGTCATAACTTCATTAATACCTCATAGCTTGGACTGCATGCCAATGAGAATATCTACATACGACTAATATGTCAAGTAACAGTGCGTGTCCGTCGTACTATAGTTAGCAAATTAAACCACGAATAGTTCATTGTAAATATTTTTGAGGAAGAAAAAACAATGCAATATAGATGCCTAAATGAATGATACAGTTACAATATTTCTTTTAAATGTCAGATTCTACTATAAAATCTATCGCTTCATAAAACTCGACTGTATAATTCAATACAGCATTTACAATATTACAATTTTATATGTCAATTTAAATCACACCGATTGTCGCGTGGCATAGTTTTTCTACGTCATAGTTATCCTGCAAACCGCCTTACAATTCCAATCAACGCAAAAAATAGAATACTTAATTGATTGTAAATGGGGGAGTAGTATTGGCAAGTGCTATTCGGAACACCAACGTAGCACATCCGTATCTCTGATTGGCTATTGTCGTATTCATTCTTACTCTGTGTTTATTATCAGGCAGTTGGATTGTTGTGGTCAATAGTATCTGGAGATAATCCTTGAGAGGAGGGAAAAGTCGGGTGCTTCTTTACGCTCGCCAAGTACCCATCTTCAAAAGTATGTATATGAATTTGGTTATTATATGTTTTTTCTTTTTTTATAAATTTTAAATAATTTATCGACATAGAATATTTCAGCAGTGCAACAATTCTTCTAATTGTACGTGTATATATATATGTATACATCTATGTATATATGTTTTGATAAACTATTTTGTTCAATAAGATTAACTGTTGCACAGAATGGAGCCCGAATTCTGTATAACTTAATTACATGATTGATATAATTTTTATTTTCATATTAGATGAATACTATACATGTATAAATCGATATTCCTATTGTAATAAGCTGTAAAATGATAGTACCGATCTGACACATGACACAAACTACTATCGTCAATTATTGGAGAGAAACAGCACATAAATTGAATTTATTGTCACAGACTCAGGAGCATCGAGATGTATTGTAGATTAATTGGACTTCGCGTGTAAAGGCATTGTTCAAATGATTTAATGAGATTTAACATTAGTTTTATTCTCACGGCACTTGATTTAATTTTAGGTTTAAAATTGCACACTTTTAAATGTTTTGGTGCTTATGTTTACAAATTTACAGTTGAACAGTACACGAAAATGACTATCGCACCTGTTGGATTCACATTGGCCATAGTACGATAAGTGCCTTCATTCGTGACAGGTGAAAAACTCTAGTTTCACGTCAAACTACTTAAGATAAATTTAACTGTTAATGCGGAAATCGCCCAATCATCAAAACTTAAATGAAAACCATTATCAACTGACGTAAATCATTAGATTATCTCAGGTGTGATGCTAAATTATTCTTACTTCAAATCAATGTTGACACTTCCGTCTATAATTTTGTGTGTTTCGGGGACATAAATTTCTCAATAACCGCCGGCATTTTTATAGGGATAAAATGTCGTTTATAGATAGAAAATTATATCATAATTCATTTAGAGTAAGTGTTATTATGACAAGTCGTGATATATCATGCAATAGCATGCCCTTTGGACAATCAGATAGTTATAGTCTGTCTATGGCCATTATGTCTAATTAGCGGTTTTGATGAGGGTCATTTTCTTCCCTGTATTTGCGGTAAAGAACCTAATTTATGTTTCAATATCGAAGCAAAGCGTAGAATGAAATGACACTACATGAAGTTGATAAGTTCAGCTCGGTCAGATTAAGTAGGTAAACGTAAGTAAAAAGCACGTATATGAAAATTTACAGTTGTCAAAGTAGAACTCAGTCAAAGTCTTTTGCTTTATATGAATCATGATACAAATACTTGTAGCTTGCAGAATTTCATAATAAATATGAACTGAATCAACCGTCCTAACATTATAAGTTGCACTTTGCATATTTAGCAAATACCAATTCGTTGATATGTATATTGAATCATGATTGCATTGCAACGGTTTGTTTTGAAAGTCAATCATTCAATGAATGGATATAAATAGCGATAAAAAGTCTATATTGGATTCTTCTGGTATAAACATATGTAAATTTTCGATTACAGATTCAGGTATTATTGATGAATCTAATCTCCAAAAAGTAGCTAAAAAAGTTTTTTGATCGATCAATAGTTATTTGCTTAACGTCCACTAGGCAAAACGAAAGAACATCTTTCATTGATTGATTGATTGATTGTTGGTTGCTTAACGTCCAGTGGCAAAACGAAAGAATGTCTTTGAAGATGAAAAGAATTGTTGTTTTTCAGTATAAAAATTATCATGTTGATAAAACAAGATAAGAATACTGCATTGTAAGTGAAATGGATATACAATTCAAGTTTCAGATTACACTGTTTATCGATAGAGAATTCTTTACTTCTGTCAATACCGTAAATTTCTGGAAATTCCTTGGCATGTACAACATATTCATAACTACTGTGAATGGTAAAGGATAGTGAAGCCTTATAATAAAGTTTATGAATTGCGCCTTGTTTGAGAGAAATTGACGGATATGTCAAATCCACTAATAACAGGAGACGCTTTAACAAGCCCCTCTGAATTTGCTAATCGTCAAAATTGAAATGTTGCCTTCAACTATTTAAGCAACCATTATATATAACAATGACTTATTTGCACTTGGGGATATCTTGGTATCGATCGATACATTGTAAATTAGTGACTTACTGGGTGTGGAGTTTACAGTCCCCCAGCAGTTATATCTTTACAGTGTTAGTAGATCAATTTGAAACCAGATTTTCTTTTGATAATTTTGATCTAGTCTAAATTTGACCCATGATTAAACCTTATATTTCTTTATTATGATAGCTGTTGTTTAGGTTGGAAAATGGAATAATCAAAGAAATGATTTCGACGTTTATTTTTGGTTTAAATCCGAACACTTTTTCCGCAACAGATTCACGCTGAATGCTTGTAGACCGTAAACTCAAAATTACTGAAAAAGCTCACACTGCCAAATTCGGTCAGGTATAAAAAAAAAAAGATATTCTGTGTCACAACATTGCTACAACTAGATAGCACTAATTTAGCTCTTTTGCTCTTTCTTAATTACCAACAAGAGACTCTATTATGAAGAGACAGCAGTATGCGATCAAAGTCCTGTATTTTCTTATAGTTTACGTGTATAGGTATTGATTGAACTGAATGGAATCGCGTTGATCCGAACTGATAGATTAATCTGAATCTAAATGTCATCAAGATTTTTAGAGCGACAACGTGGGCTCGTGTGTATTAAAATATTAAGGTCATCTTCTATATGAAGGAATAAAAAGGTGCAGACAGTGTGGGAGAAAGGAGTTACAGCATGCAAAGCCTAATGGTTCTGAATTATTTTCATGTGAAACAAATACAAATAGTTGGGATACTTTTTATTGAATTGCATGTTTAATTTTATGATTTATTTGGTAAATATGTTTTTAATTATGCATTGCTCAGGTAAAGATCACGTAATTGGATATAATTTGTACTTTTATGACATAAACAATCGAATCAGGAACAGTTCTAACTGAAAAAAATGGTCCTGATTGCAGACAGACGCATACGCGTACCTAAAAGAAAAGGATTCATTTGTTCATTTCAACATTTTTTGTGTCTTTTATTCCTTTCTTAACCGATAAAATCAGATACACATACACAATGAAAGCAACAAAGTTGAATAAAAAAAAACTACACGTAAACTTAATTATATTAAACTAACCAGAAATGCAATGTTAAGTTGTCTGGATTTGTGTAAACATGCGCTGACTGATGTTTTTGACCTTTGTAGCGTGGAAGATCATTGTAAGCAGAAACAGACTTCTTGTAAGAGTTTGAATAGAAGGTGTATCTACGTTAAACCTATGGATTAATTAATTTATCAAGATCTGGGCTAAACTGATTATCTTAAGGTTATATGTTTCTTTAGTGTTTTCATATAATATGTGTTTACACTGGTATCCATGTTTGTTTTTAAATTTATTGACAGTTTTGTTTGTATCTCGTTTTAGGTAATGAGATCCGAAAACATTATGACTTCAAGTTACGACTTTGAAATTACAGAGGATTACCAAAATTGTGATATGGAAGATTTTTCAATGCGAGCAACCGATTATGAAATTCGGAAGCGGCCTACTAAAAGAGAAGGGCCAGGTTCTCCTTCAGATTCATGTGCAAGTTCGACAACCGATGAATACACAGAGAGAAAAATGAAAACCATTCGGAAGTCGACGAAACGTCGGAAAGGACATAGTGCTAGGGAGAGAAATCTACGGCGGATTGAGAGTAATGAAAGAGAAAGAATGAGGATGCATTCTTTAAACGATGCATTCCAAGAATTAAGGGGAGTGATTCCACACATAAATTTGGAGAGGAAGTTATCAAAGATAGAAACATTGACATTAGCCAAGAATTACATCAAAGCATTAACAAATGTGATTTGTGACTTCCGAGGAGAAAAGACCCCATATACATTCGAGAAAATAGACGAAATTGATGAAAGCGATGAGGATTCAAATGAAGACGTTCATATAGATGATTCTCCTGTTATGCAAGAGGAGTCCAGTGAAGTTCTAAGTGACAGCATCTAAAATACAAAACAAATTCTGAATTGAAATTTGCTGCTGGAGGATAAATAAAGCAATTGTGATATTATTTTATGAGAATTCTTTAACAAAGAGTACATATATATTTATTTTTTGCAACTTTTTTGTCTGTGAACTTATAGAACATTCCATCGCCAAAAAATACATAGAGATTTATCATCATCGTTCAATTATACATCAAGGATCATTGGCTTCACTGATACCAGGAGTAAATTCAAACAAACGAAATGTCAAATAGTGAAGAGGAAACTTGTGAAATACTCGTACTAATAAGATTATTGTATATATTTTGCATGTATACATTTGCTTTTAAGGTAGTTCGTCCATTGAACATTATATTCTATTATTCATAATCTGGCGGAATCAAAGCCATTAGTATTGACTCTCCGATTGGTCTTTTCTAGAAATTCTAGTTCAGTATGATAGAAATGTACAACTTTGTTGTTGTAGAAATGTGACATAGTTGATGTGATTTCGGGTAACGTGGTTACCAGTTTGGACATCGGAGTTGTCAAACTTCTGAGTGCAATGTATTAGCGACGACAAGTTCTGTTTAAGGCATTTGAGGTCACATGCATAGCAAGAGTACATGTGATTGCAGCATCTAGTCAGTCTAAATATCTAGTTAGGTGGCAAGCTTTGCGGATAGCAATCTTTATAAAGAATATTGAAAAGAAGAATTTTACTCCCAATATTCAAACAAACATGTTGTTTTGAGAAGTAAAACCGAGAGAGTTGTTCTCTATTCGTTATATACAGGAACGTCTAAATGTTTAACAATTTATTCATTGAAAATTACAAGGATCAGTATGAATTGTAAAACGCACTGCCCTTTAAATTGCGCCGAAAATACATGAAACTTTTGTTTTGATTCCGCCAAACATGAATATGAAATGAAATGTTCGGGCTACTCTTATGGGTGCTTGGGTTAATTATATATATATATATTTATAAGTGACTACCCAGACACTATTATTTAACTTACATTTATTTATTTATCATTATTTATTTAACATAAGGCTTATCTCTGTCTCAGAATCAATGAAACTGCTTTTGAGGCCAACTTTTTCATCATTTATCAATATTTCAAAACCATGATCTTGCATTAAAACCACCACAATAAACACCTTGTAATCAGAAACCAAAGATTCATATCAACAGGAACATAGATCAACATAGATTTTTAAAATTTATCATACGTATATTTTCTTGGAGGTTTCCAACCATTTATTTAAAAATGATCATAAATAACCCTTTTTTCTCGATGGAACAAATTTCAGTCACCAACTGCAATTAAATACATCACAAAATGGAAACATTTTATTTACCACCATTAATTTTTAAATACGTGGTTCCAGATGAGAAGGGGACCTATCTAAAATATATGAAGTTCATCCAATATTTTCAATATCATCGGAGAAAGAAACGTATGACGTTGTAGATTTGAATAACACTTGTTTTAAGTATACGTAACACCTTGAACAACATCATTAAAATGTAATCAATTATAAAGAAAAGTTCAGTGTGTGTTCACACATAATATAAATCGTAATTCAATTTTAAAATATCGTCTAGATCGCGTATGAAGAAACCCTAAAAATATCTCTGGTACTTTGCTGTTCTTGAACATATATAGTATGGTACAATTTATACAGATAATAGTAAATTTGTTTTTGTTAAAGAGCTTATTGATTTGAGAAATCAGTACACACAGTTTTCAACATAAGATAGATTTGAACACTTTTTGTATAAAATCATCCGATATAAAACATCAAGTACCTTTTAATAAAGTCGGAGCCAATATTTCCTTTGAGGAAGAAACGTAACTAAATGTAAAATTCTATCGCTTTCCAATAGATTGTAATGGAACAAATGAGCCATTTGCATACATCAGATACGCAAGGAAACGTTCAACATCTGGCCAGAACAATAGAATTTACCAATTTAGACTTACGCCCACATCAATTCACTTTTTTTTAAACATCAAAGATATTTAAAAAGAGTTTCATTCCAAATGTATAAAAATTATTATGATATTGTATATTACTTTACAACTCTGTATTTTTTTAAAATAGTTCTTGAAAGTTGCTTGTAATGAAATATGGAAATGATTTTGTAATCAATGAGTGGAATTTTAATCTGTTGGAGTATTCTTCAATTTTTCTGGTACTATTGTTGCAGAAGAATAGGTTTTACATATTTGTTTCCCATCTTAGTTCATTTGTAAACATCACAGAAAATTTAATTGTTGACAAGATATTACAAATGTTCTATGAAGATAGTTTAGATATTTTTACAATACCACCAAGAATCAAAGCCAAAAGCGTAATATTAACAATCAAGATGATAGTCATCGCCATGACACTCTGTATGAAGGATTTTGAGTCATACGAAATTTGACGAAGAGAATTGTTTTCTGATGAGAACTTCTTTCTCAACAGCAAGTATACTAGAATTCAAACGGAGCAAACTTTCTCACAAAATGAATTTTAACTATTGATAATATTATTCCATAATTTTTAATTCTAACCAAATGTTTGTAGATTGGCATCTTGATCTATAATGGAACATAATAATTTCATGTTACTCATTGTAAGTTTCCTTAATATTGTTAGCACTAATTTGGTATTTAGACAAAGTGCAAATTAAAGGCTTCAATAATGACTGGAGACTAGAGCCTATTCCTAATCATCTTTGAAAATGTCAGACTTTTGATGACGTATAACTAATCTTGTTAAGAACATATAACATAGAACTTATATGTAAGTCTCAGTTGTTTACCCACTGATGTATGAAATTAGATTTCTGTGTTATATTATTGTACTATAGTGCTCAGAAATGTCCCTTGACTGATTTATTTTTCTATAAAAGATCTGGATTAACGTTAATTGATAATCAGACTAAACAAGTTCCAAGCAAGCTGTGTTCCATGTTGTTCTAGCGCATTACAATCCATTCCTTTTGTTTTTATAAAGCTGGTTTCGTGATGTACCATAAGTCATAAAAATACTTTTCACACAGAAATATCTCGTAATAATATAAGATGTTTTCCGAATGTATGAATACAATTAGATGTGGGGGTATACGCTAATGAGACAGCAACCCAATGACACAAATAACCAAAAGACTTCTAGATGGCAACAGTGTTCATTAGTAGACTGTTGTCTATACAATATGTTAAGCATTAAATCGTCCGGAATCTGTTAAGAGGGGGGTTCCTTCAATAGCTTGATGTAAAACCCAGTCCATAACAATAATCTGTTAAGAGGGGGGTTCCTTCAATAGCTTGATGTAAAACCCAGTCCATAACGATAATCTGTTTAGAGGGGGGTTCCTTCAATAGCTTGATGTAAAACCCAATCCATAACGATAAGCCTTAAAAATGTTTTGCATAGTTTCTGTAGGTCATTTAAAAAGAATTTACACTCTCCTTATATTACAGAATTTGAATTGTAGTACCAAATAATGAGTATGCTTATCAACAAAAATCGAATATTACCCTACGTGTAATCAGTTTGAAAGTTGGAAAACTGTTGTCTCCGAATGCTATAAAAACAATTTAATAAGTGTGTTAATCTTTGTCCTTGGCAAGAACTGCTGTCTGTAACACAACGCCTTTCTTCCTCCCCTCGGTGGACTTTGATTTCATGTTTTTCATAGGACCAGACAATAACTATTAAAGTGCTCAATCACATGAATTAATTTTTCATTAATCAAAGTCTGTCATGTTCATTAAAAGGTGCTATTCTATGTTCACATAATGTTTGTACAAAATCATTATTGATTTTCTTCATTTAATTTGCCTGTACATTTTATTTTGTAAATAAGATATATTTAATTGTCATTTATCAGAATTGATTTAATAGTTTCGTAAACTAACAACATTTTTTGATTCTTTTTAAACCTTTTTTATATCGGGACATATAAGTTTATGATCTAAGAAATTCCAGAGTTACTGTTTTCATCGTTACATTTGATCATATGAGTAAAAGGCATTGCAATACCATTCAAAATTGAGAAATATTTTTTGAAGGGGTGCGCATAAGGAAGATCAATAGCACATCTCCTATTACCGACTATCGGTACTGCAGAAGCAACAAGTATCAACATCTGCTGTAGATGATTTAAAAATCTATTCGGGAACACGGATTTGTTGTATCTGCCGTAGTGATAGCCCTTACTAGGGTGTGAAAACAATCACACGGATCTATTGTATCTGCCGTAGTGATAGCCGTTAATAGGGTGTGAAAACGATCACACATATTTATGTTGATGGCTAGTTAGTCAAAAAATCGTATGTGGATTCATTTATATATTTTTTTTCAAAACGCGTTTTTAACACAATGATAAGCATTATTTCCGTCCTCTTTCTGTTTGATGTATATTTTTTATTAAAGTTGGGAAGACAAAAACTCGGGACCTTGCGTGAATCGGAATAAAGAACAGAGTTTAAAAAAAACCAACAAGAATTAGTAAAGCTGACAATCCACGAAAAGCATAAAGTGAGATCGTAATCAACAGTAACATGCTATTGCCATGCCAAGAAAGGGACAACTCTTTAATGTAATTAAGCTCAAATCAAACAGGCTACAAGGTTGATATTTTGTATTATTTATTTTTAATTTCTTCTATTTCAACTTCCTAATACAATTCAATTTAGTATACATGTAACAGCTTGAAATTGTTGAAACATGGACATGTATTTATTACAAGTTATTGATGTTTCTTTGAAAAACGAATTTAGCTTCCTTGTAATGATGTGGTGGAATGCCAACCATTGCTTCCAAAAAAATACAAAAATACATTTCTTTTAATTATTTTTCTCTGCTTTTTTGTTTTGTTTCCATGAATGCATATATTGTAATATACATTGAAAAGCTTGTATGTTTAATTTGTTTTATGATTTATTGTATAATTTATAAATTGATCTGCAAGTTTTGTCTTAGTTATAAAGTATTTTTTTTAATGATTTAACAGGTTCAGATATACTTCATTGTTTAATTTACATGGCAGTAATTGGTTTTCGTACCAGATATTTAAACTAAAGAAAAAACTATAATTGTTTTCTGTAATTTAGAATTTATTTTGTATATGTTATACTTGTTGAAATCATTCCATAGTTTAAGAATAAACATATATAATGTAATAAAATAATCAAAGCAATGCAGTGACTTGAGTATTAATTGCCTATTTCTAATAAAAGTGGGACAGGACAGACACATGAAAGACAGTATGAGGAATCTACGCCAGTTAATTTAACGTTAATTAAATAATGTTTCCCCATCACGCAATTCGAGAAAATGCGGAAATATGAAATAAGTTGTTATAATAGAAAAGAAAGATATGGGGTATCCATCCATGACACCAGTTCATACACAGCAAACACACATAAAGCAAAGGGACTGTTACACCGGTTTTGTTACTGTTCTTCATATCAAAGTGACCATTCCGAAGGAACTACAGAATAGTGCAAGTACATATTCTGCTCTTTGGTCGGGTTGTTGTCTCTTTCCCATTCCCCGTATCCATTCTCAATTTTATATATAATATCCACCAATGTAAACAACATACTAGTACTTAAATCTCTAAACAAGTTTTTATAAGATATATTCACACAAGATTACCTGTCTGCCGGCTGATGCATATCATGACCATATATATATATATATATATATATATAATTCAAGAGTCTATCCTAAATTGAGGTAAATTGTATGGCTTTCCAAATACTGTTTCGATTCCTAACATCACTGAAAAGACATTAATTGTCGAAATCCGGATATGGTGTACAAAAACCTTTGCACCTTTTGTTTGCTGTATATCATCTTTTCCGCAAGTTTATTGTTTTCTGTTTAGTATTAAATTTATAATTAAGATCTATTTATTACATCGGTGATCCGTTTATTTGGAAATCGCCAATGGCAGTCAGCAGGGTTTAAGAACATTTGTTGTTCGACCTGTTAGTCAAATGCGTTTTGTTAAAATATACTTTTTCACTTTTTTGGTCTTTTGAAAATGTTGTTTGTGCTGTATTTAGACCCCTCTAACAAGAAATTTGTTTTGCATGCACACGTTTAAAAATTGCGGTTTTTATCCAACGCAATCATAGGTTTGAACGTTGTTTTCAATTTAGACATGTATATATATATATATATTGTCACTGGTTCAGACGTACTTATGAATATAATTATTTCTGTGACTGTATCTTGCATTAATTTGTAGGATCCTTTACAATAGATATTTCAGCTGATCTGTAACAATTCCATCTTCATGCCTTATATATCATGTACTGTTTTACGAATCTAGATTAAAACTGACGAGGAAAGGTAACACCCGGCCACCGAAAGCTTCATTTTTGTGAAGCCTAGGTGGTCGTGTGGTCTAGCGCGTCGGATACAGTGCAGGCGATTTGGTGTCACGATATCTCAGTAGCCCGGCGAGGGAAGAACAAAAAAATAGCTTTTTTACGGATCTAACATTGTTTGGCTGATGTTTAGACGAGTTGTATATATATATATATATATATAGGTAATATTATTCCGAAAAAGAAGGTTTCATGTCATTCTGGTGCAAAAGTTGACTTTATACTTCCATCGATAATTTCGATTACACTGACAAAAACTTAATTTAGTGCAACCCCTGGTTTTTGAATGGAGGTTACGGCGGGTGGGAAAACGTAGGTATCAATTGCGTGTAACAATCTCCTCCTACAGTTTTATCTCGGATCCCTAAAATTTGGCAGAAGGATGAAACATATATGGAAGTTGTGTACATGCTATTATAGATTGTTTGAGGATTTTTTTCCCCAATTTTTCCAGACTTGGGAAGTTCTTTTGCATAATATCAAAAGACGATACGTTATTTGTGTCATGAATTCCTACAGTTTTCAATCGAACTCCTTGAAACTTCAAAGATAAATTACACACATATTAAAGTTATGCACATGACTTTATGGAGTCGTTTACAGATTCCCCCATTTTTTTTACAAATAATATTTATATAAATATAGACCGTTCGCCATTGTTTAATATACGTTCTGTGCAACTCGGCTATTTGAGTCTGCTCCATTTTCTTTCTCACTTTAAACACATTTCTGCTGATCGTTGTCTCATTAAAAGGTAATGGTTCAGTTCCTAAAATTACACAAACCCACCACCTTTATTATTGCGTCTTCTCTTAATCAGTTTACAAATGATAAGGTGTAGGTCTGTGCGTGAGAGAGAAAGAGATAGTATTTAAGCCACCACAAATATTCTGTGATGTCTGATTCTTTTTGACGAGAACCTGAATTGATTTAGTGACTGTTTATCAGTGTTTTAGAATTCTCACTCAGTATGTTCTTCTAATTGTTTTTAGAGCATCCACACTGTATTCCTCCTTATTCTACACAATATAACGAATAAAAGCAATGAAGTATCATATACCATGACAAAACAATAAAACTATACAAAATAACTACTATTCAAAGTTCTATTGTTCTGTTAAAAGCATCGTTTATAACAATGAATGGTATCGGACTAGACTCATTCCACTTTTTGGGATTTCAGATATAAAATCTGAATATAAAATCAATGATAACGTCTTAAAAATTACTATTTTTAACATAAGATATATTCATTCTTTGCTTGAAACAGGGTCAATTCTAAGCATTCTTTTTGCTATTCTGTCAGTTTTTATTTAAATATGTATACGTAATAAAATTATATAAAATTGAAAAAAATTGAAAAAAGCAAACATTAAAAACTAGAGACTTCATTAAGACTCTGATTGATTGTTATTTGGTTAATGTCCAGTGGTAAATGTTACATTCATATGTTCCGGACGATTAAAGATTAACAAAAATCCAATCTGTGTATCTTTAAAGTGGATCGAACGGGATCAAGGACTGGTCACCTTAACTTCTCACGCATAGTAGTAAAACACATGCCAAAGTGGGCGTTCGTTTGGCTATGCTTAATTATAAATACGCAACCATGTCCGGTTGGATTGTGAACGTTAAATCCAATACCTCTCAAGCCAAAATGTCTGCCACTATCCAACTTCCCTATTTTTCTAGTGATTTTGAGATTTTCATCCCGAGCGGCTGACTTTGCAGAAGCTTTAGCTATTGGATTTATTGTAAGTTTATTATAGTCCAGAAAAGGCATGTAATACTTGTCAATTAATTTTAAAAGCAAACAACAGAAAATCTTATTTTGTTAGTAAGGGTTTTCCTGTTTGAGATGTAAACTTTCCATGCACGGATTGTCTAATCTGGGCATGACATCGTCACCTGCGTTTTTCAAAGTTAGGACAATCAAAGCTACCATTTTTGTTTCTTTTCATGTTTTGATTTTTGATTTTTTTTTTTTATTAAAGTATGAGCAACAGTCTTACCTATTAAAACCTTATTTTGCCACACTCGTTTTAAACAAATATACTGAAACTAAAATATACTTGAGTAATGAAGAAATTAAATCAATAAAAAATATATTTTACTAATAGCGTACTTTTTATGTGTAAAGTGTCTCAAAAGTCAATTGTTTGGCTGGGCATTGATTGCATTTTAAAGATTTTACTTTTACAAATGTATTGTATCAATCAATGTGTGACACTGAAAAAAAATAGATTTATTATTATTATTATATTATGTAACTGTGAAACATAATTTAGATCCTAGCTTATGATTTTTGAAAGAAACAATCCCTTTGATCTTACAATGGCGAACAAAATATGCAGTATTTCGATCCATCGATGCTGAAGGTACGGTACACCCAATTCACAACCAACACTTCGACATAAATCTGCAGTATCGAAGATTTCTTAACAATGACGAAAGAACTTAAACGACACCTTAGATACTAGCAAACTAATATAATATCTCAGATTCTAATATCTATACAAACGGACTAAAAACACTTTTTAAATTTTTCAAAAAACAAGCTTATGCACTGCTGGAGATATATAAAAAAATCAGTTGTAACACGTGTATAAGAATTTTACAAAAAGTACATGAAAATCGATACTATATGTTTAACCAACTTAAAACAAGACCAATATTCAGTATATAAATTATATAGATCACTGATTTAATTATTAATGAAACCGTGACAGATCATATTCTCACATCAAATCGGGTTTTATTTTAGAAAACATTCTATGGGTATCAGCATAATACATAACAGAATAACGCCAACACATGAACGACATTTATAACATTACACCTCGTCATACACATTAGTATTATGTCATGTGCAGTGGATTATTCTTAGTATTCAATAAAATGAATTTAGATAACATTCAAATGTAACACATGTACATGTAGACAATGTCTGTTTTTAAGGTTCAGATAACCTGTAGTTACACTCATTATGATTATGTCATTTTTCCTTAACGTTTGATTGGTTGTGGCTTCTTCAACATCCAGTAGTAAATATTTCATGCACTTATACTACAGCTGTATGTTACGGAAGCGTATTAGCGCCACACAACTTTTTTTTTAATATTTCTTCCTATGTTTGCGTTATAACGCAAACCTTTGCGTTATAACGCAAACCTTTGCGAAATAACGCAAACCTTTGCGTTATAACGCAAACCTTTGCGATATAACGCAAAACTTTGCGTTATAACGTAAACCTTTGCGTTATAACGCAAACCTTTGCGAAATAACGCAAACCTTTGCGTTATAACGCAAACCTTTGCGATATAACGCAAAACTTTGCGTTATAACGTAAAAGTTTGCGTTATAACGCAAACCTTTGCGAAATAACGCAAACCTTTGCGTTATAACGCAAACCTGTGCGAAATAACGCAAACCTTTGCTAAATAACGCAAACCTTTGCGTTATAACGCAAACATTTGCAAAATAACGCAAAATTTTTTTTTTATCTTATTTCTTATTTAAGATTCAAAGGAAGCAGCAGTTATAAATGGAGGAGGCTGCATACATTAAAATGTATCCTCCTTTGTACTCATAACAAAGAAAAATACTTGAATATTTAGAACATATCATTGACTAATAATGAGTTGGATAATAGATATAAGAAGATGTGGTATGAATGGCAATGAGACAACTCTCAGTCCAAGTCACAATTTGTAATATCAAACCATTTAATATAAGTCAAAGTACGGTCTTCAACACGGAGACTTGGTTCACACCGAACAGCAAGCTATACAGGGCCCCA